GGGCAACGGGCGGCAGGTAGGCAGGCCCACCGCTCGTCAACCTTAGGAGAAGGGGAATCAGTCACATGGCGAGGTGCCCCGCACTACCTGCGAACAAGGAGGTGGTAGCTGAAACCAGTGGTGGTGGATAAAGGTCCATGGTGGTGGTGGCCAACTGTACGACGGTGGTGGTGGCCGACAGAAAGGAGTAGGAATCGAACAGGACCTCAAGAACGGAGCAGACGGTGTCGGAGTAACCTGTCGCCGACCTCTTTCTGACTACCTCCGTGGTGATGATATTTTCTTTATGGATCCAAGCTTAGCCTCCGGTACGAATTCGACTTATGCCCATAAGGTCCGACATGGTTTCTTTAGAAATTAGTGACGCTACGACATCGATACTATCTGAACGTATTCGACTGAAGTACCCTGATGAAACTATCTGTACCGTACAGATAACGTAGATATACGTTCAAACAGAATCATAGGTAAAACGTATGTTTCACTTTAGATATTTAAACCTTTGAGCAATGTTCCCAATCCTTGACCAATGAATCCTACTTCGATTCTATTCTATAACCACTATTTCTTATGAAATTGTCTTTAACTTTCCTTCCACTCATCATATTTCATTGCAGAATCTAATTACAGTTTACAAATCTTTCAACGAAAAATTCAAAATGTTAATTTAGTATTTGTACTGTACTAACAACGAAAGTATTAATGAAATGCATAATACGGCATAATAATGTTATAAAAATTTTTTGAAGTAACATACCGGTTAATTATATCACCGGTTTAGATAACCGAAAGAGGAAAGTGAGTCGTTCATTTAGGTATCATTGGTGTTCGAACAAAAGGCGCACGCGGTACTTTCGTGTTTCCAGTGCCGGCTATGGCTTCCTACAAAGGTCGTTGCTGAGTTCCATATTTGGATCCCCCCAAGGAACAGAAGGGTATTGAATTCCAGGCGTTTCCACCGATCCATGCTACAGCCCGATGGCAGATTGTCTCCTGACTCGTCGTCCAAGAACGTCGTATCCTGTCTAACTACGTCTTTCTTTACGTCTCTAGCCAAGCAGAGTTACGTTTCGTCTAGGTGGACAGTATATCGATAAAACAAGACAAGAATGCCTTGTTCTTGCAGAACCGTGGATATGGATACGGCTCACGAACAATTGTAACTTCAAACGCAAGGGTCAATGATTCTGCTACTTTTTATTCGTCATAAGAAGTATGAACATCGCTATTTGTTTCCTGAAACCTTAATCAAATTGATACATAAATTGGTATATGAACCTTACACAAATTGTTTCTTTCTGTGCCGTTAATCATGATAAAACGAAGTCCACATCGACAAATGTTCGACCTAAAGAAAATGCACAAATGCAATCAGAATATCAGAAGAAACGTTAGAGTCGTTAACGTGGATTAAAAGTGTGACACATAAAAGAGTCTGACAAAAGAAAGACAAAAAACAAGATCAGGCAGTCGGTTCCAATCAGTTGGATACACAGTCATGAAATTGTTACGGACACAAAGGGTTAATACCAGTTGTAACCCCGCGGTCCCACGGCTTGGCTAGCGTATGTCGCAACATCGTTATCGCAAGAGAATATCGGTATACAGCAATGTCCTGGAAGTGTTGCCCTAGGCGTCTCAGCGTGGCGACCAGGCCAGGACGGAGAGAGTGGAACGAGCTGCAACCGTGCACCACGGTAGGGTACCGGCACGCCGAAGCGGATGAGAGCTTGTTAGGTTAACCATCACATTGTTTCACGAGGGCGTGGTGGCGTGTTGTTTGCAACGAGTGCGTGGAGGAAAGCTTCTTCCTCGACTATCTTCTCTAAACGAGCCGAAGATCGGACGGTGCCCGTACCATCGAGGGCGATATATTGCGGCCGATATATATCACTTGCCGACCACTCCGCTTCCATACGTCCGCTCGAGCGTACATATGTACGCGTGCATCGCCTCGAGGCTGGCTTCAAGGTCCTCGTTTAGATATCCGTTCGCTTCGAGATTATTCGAGACAACGACGACGAGTCGCCTGTTCGATACGTCCAGGGCGTTGCATCCTATCTGCCCTGATCGCTTAGCTTCCGGAGCTAACCATTACCACCTCGGCCATCTTCTTTCGCGGCCTCTCGTGATTAAACGGTCCGTCGACCCTGCGTCTCTGATCGCTTATACGACAGATTAGCGTCAATCGGACTTTGGATTCTCCTGTGCCGCAGGGGAACCCGATACCCGATTAGCCATGGTTAGCCTACGACTTATATGGCTGAATCGGGAACACAACTTTTGCGATATTTCCTCGACCCGTTAACTTAATAGTATAATGCCACTCTGCCGATACCTCGAAACGGAGTAACCGTGTCTATGATTACGCTTTGAAATATGACACAAATACGACACCCTCGATTCACGGGTATCGTGAAATACGTTTCTCGTTATCGGAACAACCGTGGATAGTTCCAACACTTATGCTTCATTTGAATACACGTCGAACCCGACATTTACCGAAACAGTTAGTTCGCGTTGGAGAAAAACGCTCGAAGCGACCAAACTGCCCGAACCCGCTCTATATTTCAAGAAACATCGAGCCAGGACGAGTGGTTGGCAAACGGAAGAGAGGATCCCCTCGGAATCGACACGTTAAAGCGTCCTCGGTGAAGTGGAAGCCACGGCTAGCCATAGCTCATCTTTGAGGCTGAAGTAACCAGTGGCGTTCATGAATACGTGTTCATTATTTATGAGCAACGCCTCTCCGCATCAACTGGACCAGCCTCCCTATCCTACCGGTAGGCACGAAGAGAGGCAACCGGATAACGTATTACGTCTTCATATTTTTTCCCCTGATGCACGCCCGGTAATTAAAGGTGCCCCGCCAAGGACTCGGATGATTTATCGGCGGTGCCGGTTCGGCCTGATAAGATGGGATCAGCTGATAACGAGCTGCCTTTTGTACATCGAGGCCAGACCCGTGATCGAACTCGACTCTCTCCTCTCTTTTCTCCTGCACTGACAGGGACCCGTGTTATTCGAGCTCCGCCGCCTAACTGAACGACTCTTCAACGTTCAACGGCCTGTTTATGCTGACTTCGTTTAAACTCTTGGTGTCATGATTCGACGGCGTGTTATAAATTTTTTGGTACACGTTTCGATATGTCTGGTCATTGTGGATACTTGCCGGAGTTCTGCACTCGATTAATCGTGTTGCATCCATTTTCGAAACAATTTCAAATTTGTACAGCGAAATTTGCAGCTCATACTGAGTAGCTGTACATCGTTCAGATGTGTAATTAATAGACTGAGGATGTTTATGCATTCATAATATATCGAGGCCTCAAAGTGTACACAAATCATGCAACCTGTAAAATCCTCAGTCCATAAATTACGCGAGTCATGTTTGCGGACCTCGGTATATCATATATACACAGACATCCGCTGTCTAGTAATTAATATAATAAGAAGATTACAAATTGAAGGTTGTTGAGTGAGAACCTAAGATTTACTTGTATTGAACTGTGCGTCCAAAATGAAGATGCGATGTTCATTACTTGCAGCTTGCAGTAATTATTTTTAAACGGTTTTCAACTTCGACAAGTTCTTCTTTTAGACATGTATATTAAACCTCCGTATTTACATTTGTTTTTCAGTGACTTTATCTGAATGACAATAAACAAAAATGACAACTGATGACATTTCTAACACATGTTCAAATAATATATTGAAAGAGCACCTGTGTTTCCAAATAACCTCTTTTCTACAAAGATCCCCATAAATGACCACTCTCTTTCAAATCAATCCTAATTCATGCTTTCGGCTTCAATCATCGTATTTGCCTGCGAAGATTACAGCACGCTGAAACACTATAATCCACGTACCATCTGAGCATCCGTGGTCTAAACAAACTGCTTCGAAAAGGTTGCATGTCCTTTCTTGTTACTGCTACCACGCAACCTCAAGGTGGTATCATCATACAAGGTTGAGGTATTGAAAACCCAGGAAACAAATTCTGAAAGGATTTAGTTTCTGATTGTGAAGAACATGCAAAGCTTAGTTATTGACTAATGCAAATTGAAGCTGAAATCAACATAATTGCGCTTTAACACCGTACGAACACCCTTCAACTTGATTGCTACTCACTGAACACCTTTGAATACATAGTGAGGCAAATTCTTTTACCTTTGCAAATAAAATTTTGAACCGCCTAAAGAGAAATGACTGGAAACCGAGGGAGTGGGAACCTAAGGAGTGGGAACTGTATTTTGAAGATTCCCGCTGATGATTTCGAAGATTTAATTGAGACATTCAGCAGGTACTAAAATACGCAACGGAACACCGAAGTATCAAGCGTGTTCGTCGTGGCGATGTTCCATCGAGAGGATTTTTCAGACCGTTTCGAAGGACGTTTTATTGGCGG